CTTAGAGATGTTGGGTGAAGTTGTCACTTAGGTTCTTCTAGTTTGGGGTACTGCCAAAGAGGGGGTGGGGCCTGCAGAGGTCGTCCATGCTCTCTCCCCTCTGGGTGAGGGCTGCCTAGCGGATTTCTCCCACACAGTATGCAGTGCTTTGGAAAAAGGTAATTTCTATCTGGGGATGGACAGCACCCTTCTAGTTTGGTGTTTCCCCTTGCTCTCCCCTCCAGGAAGAGATGACAGACAGTGCTAGCAAGAATTCCTTGTGGAGATGATAAAGGATCATACAGGGGACCACAAATGCTTCAAGATCCTCCATGCTGACCATATAAATCTCATATGACTCTCTGGAATGTAGTGATATCTGGACTGTTGCCATGATCTGGAATACCTGTCTTCATCCTTGTCCTAATTAAAGTGGAGCTTCATCCAAAAGGGTAAGTTCCGCTTAAGGCCTCCACCAACACTCCTCTTTAGGACTTGGCACTTCTTTTTGTGTGTGCGTGTGTGTGTTTGGGGGGTGGGGGAAGGGGGAGAGGGTACCTGGTTTTGGCAGGTACCCTCTCATGCTTCCGCTCAGATAGCCTAGGTGATCTGATCAGAAGTTCTCAGCCTCCCCTCTTTCCCCGCAGTCCTCTGGGACCTGTAACAGGGACCTGTCCACCTCTGGATTGTGGGGGAATGCTGCCTGCTGAGAGTGGAGGATCAGTTAAGTAAAACTGTTTCTCCTCTCCCCTAAACTAAACCTGTCCTTGCAGCTTCTGCACCTCCATGCTCCACCAGTCTAGGGTTCTGCCATTATTAAGACCAGAGCAGGGTCCATAGTGAGATAGCTGAGGGACAGTCCACTGCTGGATTGTGGGGGAACACTGCCTGCTGGGGGAGTGGAGGATCAGGCAAGAAAAATGGTTTAACTTCTCCCCTAGACTAAACTGGTCCTGCAATGTCTGCACCTCCATGTCAAGGGTGCTGACATCATCAAGACCAGAGCAGGGTCCATAGTAAGGACGCTGAGGGAGTGTCCACCACCAGATCATAGAGGAGCACCGCTTTGCCTGGGGAGCCAAGGAACAGGTAAGTAAAACTGTTTATCCTCTCTCCTAGACTAAACCAGTCCCACAGTGTCTGCACCCCCACACTCCATTGGCCTAGGGTCCTGATGTCATCAAGATCAGAGCAAGGTCCATAGTGAGGATGTTAAGGAACAGTCCATTGCCGGATCGTAGGGGGGCCTAGGGTTCTGATGTCACCAAGATCAGAGAAAGTTCCATAGTGAGGATGTTAAGGCCGGATCGTAAGGGGGGAGAGGAGTATCAGGTTAGTCGAACTGTTTCTCCTCTCCTGTAGACAAAACCAGTCCCCGCAGCATGTGGACCTCCATGCTCCACCAGTTTGGGGTGCTGCTATCTTTAAGACCAGAGCAGGGTCCATAGTGAGAAAGCTGAGGTACAGTCCACTGCTGGATCGTGAGGGGAATGCCACCTGCTGGGGGAGTGAAGGATCAGGTAAGTAAAGCTGTTTCTCTTCTCCTCTAGACTGATGTCATCAAGACCAGAGCAAGGTCCATAGTGAGGATGTTAAGAAACAGTCCATTGCCGGGTCATAGGGGGACCTAGGGTCCTGATGTCATCAAGAGCAGAGCAAGGTCCATAGTGAGGATGTTAAGGAACAGTCCATTGCTGGATCGTGGGGGGGGGAGAGGAGGATCAGGTTAGTCGAACTGTTACTCCTCTCCTGTAGACAAAACCGGTCCCCGCTGCTTGTGCACCTCCATGCTCCACCAGTTTAGGGTGCTGCTATCTTTAAGACCAGAGCAGGGTCCATTGTGAGAAAGCTGAAGGACAGTCCACCGCTGGATCGTGGGGCAAACGCCACCTGCCGGGGGAGTGGAGGATCAGGTAAGTAAAGCGATTTCTCTTCTCCTCTAGACTAAACTGATCCCTGCAGCTTCTGCACCCCCACACTCCATCACTTTAGGGTGCTGACATCATCAAGACCAGAGCAGGGCCCACAGTGAGGACGCTGAGGGGCAGTCCCCTGCTGGATCATGGAAGAGCGCCGCCTACCTGAGGAGCAGTAAAACGGTTTCACTTCCCTGGACAAAACGATATATTAACCCTTGCAGTGCTCCGCTCGCCGGGAATTGGGCTTTAAGGAGAGTGGGTTTGATTGGAGCATTCCTGTTTTAGAAAGCAAGGGAGCCGGGGGCAGGGTAGTGGCGGAAGTACGGCAGACCAGCGATTCTCATGTCTGATCTCGCAGTGCGGTGTGCCTCGTAGAGGAGATCGAGCAGCTTCAGGACTAAGCAGAGTGCAGCTCTCAAATTCTCTTTCATGTGATAAAAGCACCGCTTACAAATCCCTGTCTGCATATCAGCGCATCAAAGATTCAGTTAGAAACCGCTGGCAGATGTCTGCAGTAGGGAAAGTCTGAGGGTGGAATGGCAGAGAGAAAAAGACTAAAAGGTGCAAACGGTTACGGATAGATGGTTGCATGAACCTGGTGACTCCTAGGCCCTCACATTCCTGCCTGATTGGATGTAATGGGGTACAAAACAACTGCGGCAGGCAAGGGTGGGCCCTTCCAGATGACGAACGGACAGCTTGGAAGACCTCTACTGTTCCGGGTTGCTTCAGAGGTATGAACCAGAGATGGGATCTAACCTGAAGGCAAGCAGCCAGATTAAATGCTTCCACAATGATTGCTTTACCTAGTAAAGATATGTCATTCTGTTGGGTCAGTCTTCTACCTAAAGAAGAGCTCCGGTCATTTCATATTGTATCTGCTGGCTTTTAATATACAGACACTTACTACCCCAGGGATCCAGCACTGTCATCACCGGGGGGCTGTTTCTTCGCTGGTCTTGGGGGCCCCAACTCTGCCATTTTTCTTGTGGGAGTCCAGCCGTGACTTCCTGGTGTTTCACAGCCAGCTTCACTCTTCGCGCAGCAAGTTCTCAGTGGTCCCGCAGCCTCCTGGGACATGTGATGCGTCGCAGGAGGTTGCAGGTGGGGGGCGAACCTAGACGAGCATAGAAGTAGCGGGAGTGGGCGCCTGATAAAAAAACGTTTACATTATTGGGGGGAGCGGGATAATGAGTGCAACTTTCCTTTTCAGGTGAAGTTCCGCTCTAGCACGGATAGGCACATGTATGGCCTGGTTTGGCAATGCAGCTTCCTGTGTTACCTCTCTGCCTCCACCCAAAATCAGCATCACCCTTTTTGTCCTGTTAGATGCAGAGGTGGTCCAGGAAGCAGTAAGGCTGCATGTGCTGGCTGCAAGTGGTAATTGTGAAATGTTCAAGAATGGAATATATTTACCAGTCCTCAGATGTGGGGGGTGCAATATTCTGCATCATCACATTGGTTTAGTGGTTAGAACTTCTGCATGGGGTCCTCAGTTAGAAACCTATCCAGTCCCTACCTGCATGGAGTTTGCATGTTCCTCCTGTACTTGTGCGGGGTTTTCTTCCACACTCCAAAGATATGCTGGTAAGTTTCTTGGCTCCTGTCCAGTCATCAGTTCAGTCACGTTTTTTCCCCCAAGAAAAAACGTAGCAGTTTACATCCATTTTTCATCAGTTCACATCCGTTTTTCATCAGTTTACATCCATTCATCAGTTTAAATCAGTTTACATCGGTTTTTCATCAGTTTTTCACCAGTTTACATCCATTTTTCATCAGTTTACATCCGTTTATCAGTTTAAATCAATTTGTCTATTTTTTAATCAGTTTACATCCATTTTTCATCAGTTTACATGCATTTTTCATACGTTTACATCCATTTTTCATCAGTTCACATCCGTTTACATTAGTTTACGTCAGTTTTTCCATTGGGTTTACATCTGTTTTTCATCAGTTGTTCACCAGTTTACATCTATTTTTCAGCAGTTTACATCCGTTTTCCATCAGTTTACATCTATTTTTCATCAGTTTACATCTATTTTTCATCAGTTTTCATCAGTTTACATCCATTTTTCATCAGTTCACATCTATTTTTCATCAGTTTTTCTCAGTTTACATCCATTTTTCATCAGTTCACATCTATTTTTCATCAGTGTTTGCAGGTTACATCCATTTTTCATCAGTTCACATCTATTGTTCATCAGTTTTTGTCAGTTTACATCCATTTTTCATCAGTTTACATCTGTTTTTCATCAGTTTACATCCATTTTTCTGCAGTTTGCATCGGTTTTCCATTAGTTTACGTCAGTTTTTCATCAGTTTACATCCGTTCTTCATCAGTTTACATTTGTTTTTCATTTTTCATCAGTTTTTCATCAGTTTACATCCGTTCTTCATCAGTTTACAGCAGTTTTTTCATCAGTACACATCCATTTTTATAAGTTTCTTATCAGTTTACATCCGTTTTTCATCCGTTCTGTGTTTTTTTTTTAAACAGAAGAAAAATAGGGGTTTCTCCCGTTCAAAAAACAGATGTTAACAGATGTGGACATTAATGGATGTAAACAGATGATCATCTGTTTACATCCGCTAGTCCATAGACATACACGGGTGTCCGTTTTTCATCCACAAAATGGACAGATGAAAATTGGACACACGGAACGCCCGTGTGAAAGGGGCCTTAATGTACAGAATGTAAAAATGCTGGATACATTGTTGGTGCTGTATAAACAACTGTTATAAATAAAACCACAAGTGGCAGTCCAGTTGCTGAAGAGGAACAGCAAGAACCCAGACAGCTGATGGAGCAACAAGAGACTGCTACCATCTATCAGCACTGAGGAGGTCAAATGGATAGCTGAATCTGCCAATATGCTGCGCATGCTTTCACATCATGGCAAAAGAAGCGGTACTATAGTCTGCTCTAAAAAGTACCTAAGGAATGCCAAAGTGACCTACAATAACATTGTTTATGAGGCCATGCCTTTAGCATGCCTTAAACACATTTCAAACTACCTTAAATAATATTGCAGCTTGAAGAATCAGGGCCCTTGAGTTAAGTAATAAATGTGCTCCGTAAGGCTACTTTCACACTACGTGCACTACATTCACAGAAACTTTCTGCCCTCCAGTGGATGCAGGGTGGTGCCATTCAGGGGCAGACTGAAACTCATGGGGCCCCTGGGAAATAGGGGATCATGGGGCCCCTGTGTCCTTGCCCAAACTCAAAAAAGCCTATGAAAAAGGTACCAGGGGCATCTCATGGGGCCCCCTACTGACCCCGGGCCCTCGGGCAGTGCCCGAGTTTCCAAATGGTCAGTCCGCCCCTGGTGCCATTAGCTCTTAATGTCAACTTCGCTCATCTGCTAATGCACATGCCAAAACGCATGGTGCCGTGCTATTTTGCAAAAGAGTCAGAGGCTTCTTTCACACATTTCTCGCTCGTATGGTAGCCCATTGAAATGAATGGATTGGCCTACAGGTAGGGCGCGGAAATACACAAGCACTCCGCCACAGCTGCAGGGTGTGAATGGAACCTAGGGCCTTTTGACGTTTTTTTCTATAGCCAGTAAACCCCCCAGCATGTTATCCTATGTGTTCATGCACACATAGACTGGAACCAACGTTTTTGGGCTGGAAAAAACCCCAGTGGGTTTCTAGAGGAGTTTTTTTTTAACTGAAAAAACGCTCTATCGCTAAAAAAAGTTGGACAGTTTTTTGGTTAAAAAAAAAGCTAAAAACGCAGAAAAACCTGGAAAACTCTGCTAAACGCCAATGCAAAAACGCTAAAAAAAGCTGAAAAACACATTTTTAATGTGACTTTACACAGCTAACATTTCCAGCATTATCAAAACATGAGGACTGAATGTGAATTAGGGACCTTGGATTCTACGCCCCTTGAGGGTTAGGGATCTTAGATTGTATGCCCCCCTTGAGGGTTAGTGACCTTAGATTGTACGCCCCTTGAGGGTTAGTGACCTTAGATTGTACGCCCCTTGAGGGTTAGGGACCTTAGATTGTACGCCCCTTGAGGGTTAGGGACCTTAGATTGTACGCCCCTTGAGGGTTAGGGGCCTTAGATTGTACGCCCCTTGAGGGTTAGGGACCTTAGATTGTACGACCCCCTTGAGGGTTAGTGACCTTAGATTGTATGCCCCTTGAGGGTTAGTGACCTTAGATTGTACGCCCCTTGAGGGTTAGTGACCTTAGATTGTACGCCCCTTAGATTGTATGCCCCTTGAGGGTTAGTGACCTTAGATTGTACGCCCCTTGAGGGTTAGGTGACCTTAGATTGTATGCCCCTTGAGGGTTAGTGACCTTAGATTGTACGCCCCTTGAGGGTTAGAGTTCTAAGATTGTACACCCCTTGAGCGTTAGTGACCTTAGATTGTACACCCCTTGAGGGTTAGGGACCTTAGATTGTACACCCCTTGAGGGTTAGTGACCTTAGATTGTACGCCCCTTGAGAGTTAGAGTTCTAAGATTGTACGCCCCTTGAGCGTTAGAGATCTTAGATTGTACCCCCCTTGAGGGTTAGGGACAGATTTGAATGTACAATATATATATATGTAAAGCGCTGTGTAAATTGGCGCTATAGAGGTAACTGAAATAAATAAATAAAATAAATAAAGGGGACAAAAGCGCCGTCTACTGGATGGAATGAAGACAGTGTAACATTAATTTGCAATATTGAAATTTTTTTTTTTTTTTTTAATACCGATCATAATTTGGAAAGATAATGTGTCAAAAAAAAAGAACCATTCTGCATTCTCTTTAAAGAAAGAGTGAGCACTAGGATGAGTTGAACTAAATACACAAAGGACACCCCATGTCCCATTTAGCCATTGAACCATCAGCTGAGAAAAGAAGCTTCATTTATCTGCTCGATCCACAGAAAGCCTCCCTGTTCTGCTGATTAAAACATAAAGTCGTTCTGGTCTCTCGAGTTTGAATAAATGCAAAAGGTAATCATTTCTCAGTGACTTTTTTTTTTTCGGAATAGAAATGTATCACTGCGAACAATGCACTAAAATGAATATTTCCGGCAAGAAAAAAAACGCAGATTAAAAGAGTTTAAAGGAATAGGGCACTTGCATTACGTGTGCGGCAAGAGGTTTATTTATTTATTTCAGGTACTTATATAGCGCCGTCAATTTACGCAGCACTTTACATATATATTGTACATTCACATCAGTCCCTAAACCCTCAAGGGGCGTACAATCTAAGGTCCCAAACCCTCAAGGGGCGTACAATCTAAGGTCCCTAACCCTCAAGGGGCGTTCAATCTAAGGTCCCTAACCCTCAAGGGGCGTACAATCTAAGGTTCCTAACCCTCAAGGGGTGTACAATCTAAGGTCCCTAACCCTCAAGTGGCATACAGTCTAAGGTCCCTAACCCTCAAGGGGCGTACAATCTAAGGGCCCTAACCCTCAAGGGGAGTACAATCTAAGGTCCCTAACCCTCAAGGGGCGTACAATCTAAGGGCCCTAACCCTCAAGGGAAGTACAATCTAAGGTCCCTAACCCTCAAGGGGCCTACAATCTAAGGTCCCAAACCCTCAAGGGGCGTACAATCTAAGGTCCCTAACCCTCAAGGGGCCTACAATCTAAGGTCCCTAACCCTCAAGGGGTGTACAATCTAAGGTCCCTAACCCTCAAGGGGTGTACAATCTAAGGTCCCTAACCCTCAAGGGGCGTACAATCTAAGGTCCCTAACCCTCAGGGGGCGTACAATCTAAGGTCCCTAACCCTCAGGGGGCGTACAATCTAAGGTCCCTAACCCTCAAGGGGCGTACAATCTAAGGTCCCTAACCCTCAAGGGGTGTACAATCTAAGGTCCCTAACCCTCAAGGGGCGTACAATCTAAGGTTCCTAACTCACATTCATACATACACATACATACTAGGGACAATTTTGACAGGAGCCAAATAACCTAGCAGCATATCCTTGGAGTGTGGGAGGAAACCGGAGTACTCGGAGGAAACCAACGCAGACACAGGGAGAACATGCAAACTGCAGGCAGGAGGTGCCGTGGCTGAGATTTGAACCAACGACCCGAGTACTGCCAGGCAGAAATGCTAACCATTTAGCCACTATGCTGCCCGTTGAATAAAATAAGTTGCAGAATGGTAAAAGCATGGAGGGGGGTAACTTTTGCATGAAGATGGCACAGCAGCAGCTGCCCACTTTGATGCTGATGTTTTCCGACTGAAACTTTAGACAAACACTGTAAGGAGTCTTCCACTTACATATGTAAAATTCAGTTTGAGCTACTGAGCTCTGTAAACAGTTTTAAAGCAAAGCGATAACACGGGAAAAGGAGCTCCACCTTTTTGCTCAAAAGGAGAATACTAAATACTAAAATGCAGTATTTGATTTTTATCCGACACAAAAAAGAAAAATATTTGTCAAAAGCGTCTTTTTTTTTTTCCTTTTTTTTTTAGTCCTGAGTCTGACTCTGACCATAACAAAAAAAAAGAGAGATAAATTATGTATGAAAGCACTTTATATCCCCTTTAGGGTTTGCCAAGATTCCACCCACAGAGATTAAGTTGGCTGCACCATTAGAAGAAAAATGTGTATGTGGAATAAATTTAATTGAGGGGGCGGAAGTATTGTTTAGGTTTTGCCTTACTTTTTTATTTGCTTTCTGCTGCTTGGCATCCAGTTAGGTGCCCGCAGAAAACTGGCACATATAAAAAGGTTTTCTATTTATTACCAGCCACCACCTTGTGTTACCAAAAAAAAATCTGCTTTTGACATGAATTTTTTTTTTCAGCATTTTTCCAGCAATGTACAATGGTGCCCATATTCAGAACCCAAGGAGCTTTAAACTGAAATAAGGAAATATTGTATATATATATATATATATATATATATATATATATATACAGTATATATATATATATATATATATATATTTGTTGTGTATTTTTTTTACTTGAATCTTGGTGTGCTTTGTGTATGTCTTCCATATCATTGCAGTAATCCAGTGTGAAACTTTGCCTGCCTGTAATGAAGACCTTTTCCCATGTATTGAAACGTTGTCCTTGCCTGGTCTGAAGTTACTGGAAGAGGTGTATTACATGGAACCGGCACACATGTAGTTATCAAGTGGGTCTTAACACATTGGAAAGTTTGGAATGGAGTAATTTGACGACATAGGTCGTTGCCAAGAGTAAAGAAAGTGTAACAAGCAGCCTGTCAGTAGCGTGTACCTGCTATAGGTGGTATGGCCTCTAGCAGCCCTCCACCAGCAGTCTGGCTCCTCCCAAAGCAAAGGGAGCGGGTTTGCACCGCAGAAGTACAGAGGTACTGAGGTTCAAGAATTAAGGTGTTCCGAAACACAGGACACTGCATCCACTATATGTAGTCTCCCCAGACCCCGCATTCACTATATCCACTCTCCCCAGACCCCACATTCACTATATCCGCTCTCTCCCAGACCCTGCACATTCACTATATCCGGTCCCCCGGACCCAGCATTCACTATATCCGCTCTCCCCGGACCCCGCATTCACTATATCCGCTCTCCCCGGACCCCGCATTCACTATATCCGCTCTCCCCGGACCCTGCATTCACTATATCCACTCTCCCCAGACCCTGCATTCACTATATCCGGTCTCCCCAGACCCCGCATTCACTATATCCGGTCTCCCCGGACCCCTGCATTCACTATATCCGCTCTCCCCAGACCCCGCATTCACTATATCTGCTCTCCCCGGACCCCGCATTCACTATATCCGGTCTCCCCAGACCCCGCATTCACTATATCCGGTCTCCCCGGACCCCGCATTCACTATATCCGGTCTCCCCAGACCCTGCATTCACTATATCCGGTCTCCCCGGACCCCGCATTCACTATATCCGCTGTCTCCCCGGACCCCGCATTCACTATATCCGGTCTCCCCGGACCCCGCATTCACTATATCCGGTCTCTCCGGACCCTGCATTCACTATATCCGCTCTCTCCCCGGACCCCGCATTCACTATATCCGGTCTCCCTTGACCCCGCATTCACTATATCTACTCTCCCCAGACCCTGCATTCACTATATCCGCTCTCCCCGGACCCCGCATTCACTATATCTGTCTCCCCGGACCCTGCATTCACTATATCCGGTCTC